GTCATACCATTCTTTCAACTTGTTTTCGTTGTAACTTTTTCGTTTGAACTCCGATCTGGATAATTCAAAATCCGTTGGAATCCTTGTTTCTAGCTCTACGCTGTGGACTATTTAAACAATAAAATTATCAATAAATAAAATATATATTATCAATAAATCATATAATATGATTGAAGCTCATAATAAATTTATGCTTTATAACAATAATTCTTACACACCAAAAACAATTAATACTAAGTGTGTTTGTTATCATCAAAATACTAATTAATTAAATTAATTAACCGAGATTAAGGGTCAAAAAGCCAACAAATCCAAAAACGTAGAATTGCTTTAAATTGTCTTGGAAATCACATGTAGTAGGCGCTTTACGTTTGGATGAGATTTGACAAGCTTTGACATCACAAACTCCCAAGAGGTGCAATCTGCAAAGGCACCTGTTCACAAATCTGCACACTTTTTTTGTCCTCCATGCCATCTCTCAAAATAGACAACTTTTCCTTGCCATCTTTGCTCCATTCTCTTCTTGACTCATTGAAGTAATATTATAACAAATTTGGGCTCAAAAAATCTTTGTTGGTTCTTGTGCATTAACAAGCTTTTGAAGGTGCAGTGTGAAAGCCTCTTGAATCTTCCTTGCCTTTCTTGTAATAATTGCTCGTTTGATACATGTAATTAGTCATAAATGGATTCGTATCATCCCTCCTTTCTTTAAAAGGATTTGTCCTCAAATCAAGGTCTTCATTTCCTACATCAAAACGAATCAAGTTAGTCCAATGATAAGCCTTAACAACTTGTTCCTTACCTTGTGAGTTGTATTTTTTGAGCTTCAAGATGTATGATTTTCTTCGTTGGAGATGTCAGTTCTTTCTTCTTGAAAATTTCAATGGCTCTTTCTTGTTTATCTTCTTGAGTTAACACAACTTTTTGACTTCCTTCAAATGCAATCTTGAAGTCTTGATGTAAGATCATCCTTCTTAGTCTTCTTATGTTTGGACTTGGACAAATTCTTCGTTCCTTCCAAAAGTGCTTCCAAACCCAATCACTTGGTTTGTTGAAATTGTGCTTGGATTTATTTATTTTTTTTTTTGTTGAAATGAAATTGTGCTTGGATTTATTTTTCCTCCACTTGGTACTTTGCATTTGCATTCTCCAACATAACATTCTATTTTCTTGACCATGGAATTCTTTATGCAAATTCTTGGACAAGTACTTTTCCACAATGCCTTTCACCTTAGGTTTCTTATGTCCATGGTTACCTACACAATAAGGAAGCAAGTTAGTATCTTCAAAATCAAGATGTATTTTATACTTACCTTGTAAGACAATCTCAAGATCATGATAAGATGATAGGATAACTCTCGTTGGCTCCTTTATAGCTTCCTTTGTTACTTGTATTCGACCACACTTGAATTGAAAAGTTGGAACTTCCTGCAAAAATCTTAGGAAAGTAGAAAAACTAGGATAAAATATGTGAGCTTGATAGTAAGGGTCGTTATGCAACAATGCTATAAGATTTGGCTTATATGGACAAATGGATTGGATCATGCTCTTTTCCTCTTCTTTCTCCTTTCTATTCCTTTCTCTTAACTCTTCTCTTTCTCTCTTTTCTTTCATCTCACTTTCATCAAAATCAGAATCTTTGCGATCTTTTTCAATAAATTCGTCAACATGTGCTTTAGACTCTTCCTCAAATTTTGCATCATATTTCTCACAAGCATCATTTGAATCAATGACCCCATTTCTTATCACCCTGACTTCTTTATTGACACATTCTTTGTTCATGTGCCCAAACCCTTTGCACTTCCAACATTTTAGACAATTAGTCTTCTCCCCTACCTCCTTTGGAGCTTGATTCTTTTTAGTATTGGAGCTCTCGATCTCCACTCGTTTGACAGCACCAAACTTCTCTTTTGGTTGCATGGATTCATGCCRTTTGGAATGCAGCAGCTTTTCTTTCCTCAATTGATCTTCAATTTTGATAGCATGGTGATACATATCTTCCAAGTAAGGTGATRGATTTCTATCAATAGGATGAGCAATTTCCAGATTCAAACCTYCRAGAAATCTAGATATGGTATCTTCTTCYTCTTCTYGGATTTTTGCCTTTTTCATTAAAATCTCCATCTCTTGATAATATTCAGCAACACTTTTTGTTTCCTGCCTCAAAGCTTGCAATTTAGTTTTCAAATCATTTCTATAATGTTTGGGAGCATACCTCTTTCTCATGGCTTCTTTGAGTTCTTCCCAAGTTTCTATTGGAAACTTCTCTTTCATTCTTTTCTCGGATTTGAGATGTTGATACCATTCATTAGCATGATTAATGAATTCGGCAATTACAAGTCTCATCTTCTTATTCTCACTATATGTATAGCAATCAAACACATGTTCTATCTTCCTTTCCCATTGCAAGTAAGCATCGGGGTCCGCCGTTCCACTAAAGGGTGGAATTTTGAGTTTAACTCCGCCATCCCTATTTTCATTTAATCTYTCCAATCTTCTAGGTTGCATAACGTTGGCAAAGTTATTTCGTCCTCTTCCTCTCCCATTTCTTCTTCCTCCAACTTGTCTTTCTTGTTCAGCAAGGTCAAAYGCATCATCKTCTTSTAAGGCTCGTTCTTCTCTTTGTTGTTGCGCTCTCCTTTCTTGTCTATCTTCCATCATCATTTCCATCATWCCTTGAATTGCTTGAAGAATCACCGTATTAGGATCTTGCGGTACTTGTGGTASTCCATCCTGTGCCATTTTGTTAGAAACAATAATAATGATAATAAGGACCTTACCACTCTTCTCACCAAGATTTCACTCAAGGACACTCGTGTTTATCACTCAAGGGTAGGCTTTTGGTACTAGGTCAAAGATGTAAGGGTTGGCTTAAATTTTGGTGCAATCTTGCTTAAAGCTTGATATAACTAATTCAATGATCAACTCTCACAAACTAAGGCTACWRCAACTCAATCTTAGGATAAACAACTTGATAATTTAAACAAAACACAACATAATGAAAAGAACTTTTCGTGTGCCTCGGATCTTCGAATGCTTTTTTTTTTCTACGGGTTTCTTTCTTTTTGCTACTGTTTTTGTTTCTTTTTGCTACTGTTTTTTCTTTCTTTTGCTTATGTTTTTTTTTCTTTTGCTTCTAATTTTTTTTTGCTAATGATCCGAAAGCAAAATACAAGAATTTCAAGACAAGTTATGTCTTGTTACACTTTGTAAGAAACTACTTTCGAAAAAGGAAAATAACAGAAAAATAAAATTACATAAAGTAAAGATATTTCACCTCTAGAGCCGGCCAAAGGATGTCGACCAATGCTCTGATACCAAATGATAAGCGCCAAGGTTGCTCGGGTTTACAAAGNACTTAAAAATGCATAACTTGCACCAAATTGAAGTGCATAGTTCCAACTTCTTGCACATCTTCCTTTTAATTCTCGTGTCGAGTTCACGAACGCTTGGACACGAAGTAGTAAGGCTTGTTGAAGTTTTCGAGCTCTTGATCTTGTAATTGGTCCATGAGGCATGACAAAGAGAGCTCCTTGGTTCATATCATAGTATCTTCAAAATCAAGATGTATTTTATACTTACCTTGTAAGACAATCTCAAGATCATGATAAAATGATAGGAGAACTCTCGTTGGCTCCTTTATAGCTTCCTCTGTTACTTGTATTCGACCACACTTGAATTGAAAAGTTGGAACTTCCTGCAAAAATCTTAGAAAAGTAGAAAGACTAGGATAAAA